CTTGAGCCCAGGAGTTGGAGGTTGCTGTGAGCTGTGATGCCATGGCACTCTACCCAGGGGGATAGCTTGAGGCTCCGTCTCAAAAAAAAAAAAACACTACTTAACCCAGTTTGGAGGATAGTCATGGAAGGCTTCCTGGAAGGGGTGTGTTACCATAACTTCCTGTCAGGTGTGTTACCAACCCTGACCATGGCCAGTAAGGGTTAGCTGAAATGTGCTTGTCTTAGCATAGAGTCAGTATGATAAAAGTAAAGTAGGCCTTCCACAGACTGCTCCCAGGAGAAGAGCTCAGCTCTGGCCAAGGATTAGTAATTCTCTGTGACAAGTCAGCCTTTTGGAGACCACCAGTGCCACTTAGTAGAATGATTTTGCTATTGTGTTTTACTATGGCCTGTGCTAGTAGAGTTTGAGATCAGCCTGGGCAATATTTTAAGACATTGTCCTCTGGTCAGGTGTGGTGGCTTACACCTGTAATCCTAACACTCTGATTGGCCAAGGCAGTGGATAGCTTGAGCTCAGGAGTTTGAGACCAACCTGAGCAAGAGTGAGACATCATCTCTACTAAAATAAAAAAGTCAGCTGTATATCATGGTCCACACCTGTAGTCCCAGCTACTTAGAAAGCTGAGGCAAGAGGATCACTTGAGCCCAGGAATTTGAGGTTGTTGTGAGCTATGATGACCCCACAACACTCCACCCAGGGCGATAGAGTGAAACTCTGCCTCAACAGAAGAAAGAAGGAAAAAAAATTAACCACTATGGTGGTGGGTACCTGAAGTCCTAGGAGGCTGAGACAAGAGGCAAGGCTTAGGCCCAGGAGTTTGAAGGTGCAGTGAACTATGATCGGGGCACTGCACTCCAGTCTTTGTGAGAGAGGAGGAGCTTGTCTCAAATTTTTTTTTTTAAGTCCAGCAATCAGTTAAATTAAAAAAGAAAGAAAAAAATTTTAAGTTAAAAATTAAAAACAGCCTTAGCACCAGTTATATACACCTAAGGTGGTAGGTTCAAATCCAGCCTGGGCCCGCCAAATCAACAATGACGGCTGCAACCAAAAAATAGCTGGGTGTTGTGGTGGGCGCCTGTAGTCCTGGCTACTTGGGAGGCTGAGGCAGGAGACTCACTTGAGCCCAGGAGTTGGAGGTTGCTGTGAGCTGTGATGCCACAGCACTCTACCCAGGGTGACAGCTTGAGGCTCTGTCTCAAAAAAAAAATTAAAAACAATAAATGGGGGGATGTTGCATTATAATCACAATCTCCTTTTATTTCTTTTTAAAGAAAACCCATACAGGTAGTGAGTCAAAGCATTCGTTGCAATCAGAGGGTTCTGAAACAAATTTAAGACGCCTGAGCTCAGGACATGAATTTTATGATTCTGATGAAACCAGTTTTGAGGAACAACAGGTTAGTTCACCTGAAATACAGCCCTCAGGCGACCTTGAGGAGGAAACCACCCAGATGCCCAAAGATGAATTGGGACAAGAAGGAAGAGATTTAGAATCAGAGATGGAAAAGAAGGGACAGGAAAAGAAAGTATCAGTCTTCCTCGATCAAAAAGCAGGAATCACCAGGCAGTCCATGGTATCCACTACCACGGAAGACATTTTGTTCCAGAAAGATGACAGCACCTTATATCCCTTGGTAAGTGTAACATGCTTTTTCTAAGAATCTCCCCCACTGAGAGGAAGGGAGGGCATGAGGCAGGATCTCACCTAATGTGCACATTGTGAGTGTGTAACAAGCCCCCCTGGGTGAGGGGCTCTTCTGCAAATGGAACTTTGCCCTGGAAGGGAGAACAATGTAACCAAAATATTATACCCTCATATTAATTTGAATAAAGGTTTTAAAAAATTAAAAAAAAAAAAGAATTTCCCCCAATGCTTTGGAAGTATTGTGAAGTGGGGGAATTTTATGTATGAGGGAGAAAAAATTTTAGCAGAAAGTTGCTTTTAAAACTAATTATAAGTGGCACCCATAGCTCAGTGAGTAGGGCACCGGCCACATACACTGAGGCTGGTGGGTTTGAGCCTCCCTGGGCCTGGTGAACAACGACAACTGCAACAAAAAATATCTGGGGGCTCGGCGCCTGTGGCTCAACCGGCTAAGGCGCCAGCCACGTACACCTGAGGTGG